ATTTTGTTCCGGTTCGTGCACATGTCTTTGAGCAGTATGGATGTGTCTTGGTGCCGTCGAAATACTTCGGCTTCAAGTGACAACTCTGATCCGAAATATCACGAACACTGAGAATCACAATTTGTATCGATGAAATAATTGAATATTACCTCGCAGAGAGTCGACGACGATGATACTGGTGGGGTCTTCAATGGAGTAGATTGAGCTAGTCCATTCGACTGATTGGTTTGCTGATTAGCATTTGCGGATGATTGGGAATTTGGCTGAGGTCCAGCTGTTTGTGAGATGGGAGGCGCTTGGGGTGGAAGTGACGGCGGAGGAGGAGGAGGTGGTGGTGGTGGAGGCGGTGGTGGAGGCGGAGCAGCTGCAACTGTAGTCGTTGTGGTAGGCTGTGACTTTGTTAGCCCTGGATACTGATTAGCCACAGTCTGAAGTAGGGATAACGCCAGCGGAAGCCCAGATGCTACTGTTGCTACAGCGCTCATTTCAAGATTGAAAGTGAAAGCAAGCAAGCTTTGATGTTCGAGGAGACCTGTGGAGTAGAATTCGCTGCTGAACATACTTTTAAATCGAGACCCAGAGCATAAGGCTTGGAATCAGCGTGGAAAACGTCTGTAAACCCTATAACAGCAACGCGGATGCAGCGTGGATTGAACGCGGTGACAGCAGCTAAGTACCGGTCAGTACTCACATACCCCGGTATTGTCTCTATCATCTCAACTACCACCATGGCTGCCTTTGTTAAAAACGTCGTTCACTGGGGTGCTCACCAACGTTCTCAGATGCTATCCAATGATCTTTGCGAGGTAAGTCAAGACTTCTCAGTAGTTGTGACCATAAATATAACAATCTGGTTCGAGTAGACCTGCGGAAAGAAACCGAAGTTTGTAGAAAATGGATTCAAACACCCCTACTGCAGCAGAACGTGTGCACGGAGTGGTCCAGGACCCGGTCCCAAGCCATGTCTATTGCGCGGCTGCAGAGTTACTGGGCGGCCGGCATTCGCAGATTTCTGTTCTGATATCCACGCTAAAGAGGGTGTCCGTAAAGGTCAAGTTCAAGGATGTACCGTGTGCGGGACTCAGCCTCGCAGTATCGGAGAATTATGTATTACCTGTGAAAGGAGCAACGCAGGAAAAACGAGGTTTCGAGAACTTGATAATAACGGAGCTACGTTCAAGCAAGGTATGGTTGGTTTTTTCTCAGTTGCGCAAGGTTCCTTCATATTATCATGTTCATTCCAGTCCGGAGTCAGTTCATCAGCGAATGGGACTCGCATCAAAAACCCTCTGTCGAGAAAGTATACGAAGTAATTCTTCCACGCGACGTTCAAAATTGTCATGCAAGTCATCGGTAGGGAATTTAATGATCTTAAGTTTGACATGTGCACTGACGTCTCCTAGTAAACGTTTGCAATCGGCAAAGGAACTTCGCACCTTCCATGCAGCACAGTGCATTTGTAATCTCGGAGTGAGCCAAGCTGTCTTGTGCGATTTCAAGTCGTGTGGGATATGCACCGTTGTGAAATCATCGTTCAAAACATTCGCTTTCGGCGAGCCTACCAATAACGGAAGGTGAGAGTGCTACAAAAACACGTCTTCGTTTCACGTCGCTGACACATTGCCTATGACAGGTTTGGCGAAGGTATCTATTCGTACCGCAATCCTCAGTTAGCCGATAAGTTTGCTACATCGTGTACATCGTCTCCGTATCGCGTGATGATTGCATGTGACATAGTGGTGGAGAATATGGTCGAGGTAGGTCGATTGAGTACCGTTGTGTGTGCGGGACTGATAGTCATAATAGGTTCCAGAAGATGAATCGCTGTTTGTGGCGACCGCAGATGCGATCATTCCAGCATATGTTATCATGTACAAGTAGCACCTGAGAAATTGGAGGCAGAAGAACATTGTTCCTTATTCATCAGTAGTATGGTTGCTGGTCAACAATTTGGATTATGCACGGAATTTACATCGTCGATAAACATATTTAATAAATTATTTTTCCCATCTCGACTTTACGCTGCAAGCGGTGTCCTAAAAAGACTTTTTAGAAAGGCAACTGAACTCAGATCTAGTCTCTTTTCTCCTGAGAAAGGTGCTTTCCCATATATGACGACGTATGCAGGGCGTATGGCATCGTTGTGGTAAACAACAGTCTCTTCGTAGTTGAGATCGCCACCCGGAATACCAATGACCTTCAAATGGAACATGATCGAAAATTAAGTACCAAAAATGGCACGTTAGACTCACGGAATTGTATCCGCAGGGAGGTTCAGTCAGGGTCGTGGCGTTGAATCGATACTTCGCAGCCTTTCCGACAATAACTCGATTGACTAGAAGCACTCGAGAGTCAGAGATGTTAGGATTCCCCGAAAAGTAGTCATCTGCCTCTAGCTAGACGGTCAGATTTGAATTAGCTAGGGTAGATTTGTACAAGTACACGTACTTGAAGAGCATGAAGTGACATAGATGCCACGACCAAACCTGTCATTGACATGATTAAACCCATATCCTCACGTAAGAATGGTTATGATTACCGTCGAAAATGGTGTCTGGTCCCTGAAGATGATAGAGATTAGTCGTAAGGAAAGATCATAAAGAACATATTCTCTGACCACATTTCTGAACATCGAATGAATTCCGTATGATTGAACACAAGGAGCAACTGGGAATAGGACAGAGTGTCGCGTTGCTAAGATTCATGCCGAAAGAACATGCTTGACTGGTTCCATGAAACAAGAATTGTTCATTGGCTCGCTTTCGATAATTTGAGAGCTGGTTAACGACTTGAATTTGAAATCTAAGCAATGAAAGCGCAATATCGTTGATCAGTAAAGATAAAAAAAGCGGAATGATTATCTACAAACTTGTGTTCTGCATACGAATCGAGGCTCCTTTGTGAGGAAATTATCTTGTATAGAGCACGAATGACTGGTTTTTCTTTTTCCCTATGCTTCCAGCCTTTCTGAAATAGTTTTTCCACTGTATTGGCTCAGTCACGAGCGTTGGCAATCCTTCAAGATTAGAACTTACCTTCAGCATAAGTCTTGTCAGAAGGGTCAACGCGGACTAATCGCCTTGAAGTGGCGGGAAAGTTTGCAGGCTTTCCGAGGGCAAAGCTGTCGGTTGACATTGCGTAATTCGAGGGCAGAATATTGATAGACGAGACACGCAAGATGGACCATTTTCAACGAATTGCAAAGGCAGTGTAATATTCATTTGTTACTTGAAAGATGAATGGAACCGTCTACACCTGGTACACCTGGCTAATAAAACGAGGATTTTCTGAGATTAAAGCACAAAACAACCAATTCACGAACGAAAGCTAACTGTTTGGTTAGCAAAAGTCGTGGAAAGGGCACTACAATCTGACATCGGCTGTATGGATTCCCACAGGGAGGCTGTCCGGCATTGAAGGAGGAGGAGACATGAAAGTGTGGTTTCATCGACGTGGCGGTGCATCAACCTTGTGATGCACTGGAGCATCACGTGGCTGCCAGCTCTCCGTCGAGTCCGAATAGGTCCGAATCTCCCGCAGACTCATTTCCTGCTCCGGCCTTGATGTCCAAGTACCATAAACAGCTTGCACGTTCATAAACATGCGTATCTCATGAGGTTTGAGCAAGGCAAAGGTCTGAGCATATTGTCGACATACGCTAAACGGTCATATAGCATCGGCTTTCAGTCCAAAGTGCCTCCCTTTAGATCACCCATCTTCAGTTTCCGTTTCGCCTTTCCGAATGCCCCGTACTTCGATTTTCATCCGTACTACGCCTTCTTCTAACAGTTCTCACTCATCACATAACACAAGCATCCCAGTCCTACCCAGCCCAATGTCTCCCATCAACCCCAGTGGTCCCCCTCAGGTCGAATATCGTGTTGAACTGGAAGAACGCAGGAAACGTACAGTCTATGTAACTTCAGATATTCCACCCTCTCAATGGGGCTCCCAAGACCTCGGGCGTCTACTGAGGCATATGGAGGATAACAAACGTGGTAACAGCGTCGAAACGGAGCCCGACTTCAGATGTAAATCCCTTTCAGAGGAACAGATCCTCTCGTCGGGATATGTCCCGCGCTCAAAATCAGCGCAAGAGCTCTACGTGTCCAATCATCCAATCCCTAACAGTCGTGTGTCCCGTTATCAGAGTCATCGTCAGACTCTGAGTCCATTCGATGCATCGAAAAGTCCCGTTATTTCTACTGCCCCCAATTCCCCTCGATACAGCTGTCGCCAGAACAGTCCTATTCGTCCAAAGGTGTACTTCTATCATAAAGATGACCCTCACTATGGCTTCACCAATTTTTCGCCGCATCCCGTCATTTACAAGGGAAAGAGGTATCCCACGAGCGAGCACCTCTTCCAATCGTTCAAGGTGAACAGTGATTTCTTGTGTCTCTATTATTGAACGATCATTGACCTTCACAAAAGTTTCAGGACCATAAACCTGGATTAGCCGAGCACATAAGAACATGTTCGGAGAGACCCAGCGTTGCTTTTTCTGAGGCTCGCCGCTTCCAGCCCGAAGTACGACCTGACTGGAAGGATGTGAACATCGAGAAGGTAGGCTTTAATTAATTTTAAATACAGGTGGTATAACACGTTGTCTACACGCAGATGGACATCACCCTTTCGCACAAGTTCAGGCAACACCCGGACCTTTTGCAGGAGCTGTTAGATACTGGAGACGCAGAGCTGATTGAGGTAGGTTGAAAGTGCCTTCAGTTGTCGTTTATTAAAGCTAACTTCATTTCGTCGTAGGATTCTGACAAAGACGCGTTTTGGGGTATTGGGGCTGATCGTCAAGGAAGAAATGAGCTGGGAAAAGCTTTGGAGAGACTGAGAGCGGAGCTTCGGTGATGTGTTCGGATACATGTACTACTTCTGATACGTATGTTATCTTTGTCATGTAATTTTCTAGTGGTATCTTGGTTTTCGGTTTGTGTCAAACCGCCACGGGATATGGTTAGAACGTCCTTGTTTTGCATTTGTTCGAAGGCCTGATGGTCTAGTAGCATGATTCTCCCTTCGGGTAATTCCGGGGTAGTCGCCCCATGACTGGGAGAGGTCCCGGGTTCAATTCCCGGTCAGGCCCTTTTTGCTCCTTACCGGAACAAAATCAAAAAATCAAGAGTCTCAAAAAATGTACCATTGCGGCGCTACAAAAACCCCCCAGTCCCAGGAACAAGATCAAGAATACAGCTCGAAAAACGACATGTTAAACTGTGGAGAGCATCGTCACGTCATGAAGCCTTCAGTGTCATTGACCCATCAGACCCTGCCAAAGCAATCCGAAACTTTCAAAAAACTAATAGCAGACCTTCCACGGAAACACACTACCATCCTTGTCCAACTTTGCACCGGCCACATACCCCTCAAGAGACATCTACACCGAATATGTCGAGCCGACACACCAATCTGCCCATGTTGCAGACGACACCCGGAAACAGTACAACACTTCCTACTCCCCTGCCCTGCCCATGCCGTTACAACGACTCCAAACAGAAACCGGAAGCCGACGATGCACCACTCGGGCCCTACTCACACAAAAGAAACTCCTACCGGCACCAGCCCGCCTCCCGAATTCATTCGAAACCGTTCTTAATTTCCCTTCTCTAATACCCACTATTTCCCCCTTAAACCCTTTCTCCCACATATAATCTATCCCTTAATCACTTTCACACTACGAAGCCTATCATCTTACTATACTTAACCTACATGCAGCTCGGACACACATACTAATCTCTGCTTAATTGAGCCCATGAGGCTAGACGGAAACCCGTCGTGGGAACAGACATTGACGACAGTACATTACCAAAGGAAGTTAAAACTACTAGTACAGAATCGGGATTGTAATCGCTACCGTACGCTACCGCGCAAACCAGGATTCAAAAAAAAAGGAAAGAAAAAAGGTTCAAGAATGTCAGAAAGTGTACCATTGCGACGCTACAAAAAACCCCAAAATCCGTTTCAAAAAACTTGGATGTATCTAACTTGGTTGCCAGTACATTCATCTATCCTATGCTCCCACAAAGGTTCTGCTACATTGGATGTCAGATTATATTTGCTTAGAGCCGTTATTTTGAATGAGAGGTAACACGCACCTTGTGGTTTCCACAGACTGTGGCTGCTGTTCTCCTCTCCTCTGCTGTCTCAACAACCACTCTGAAAGTCCCAAACACAAAACACAAAACATCTGGACAACAATGACGATCACACTTCCAGAAGCGCGGATCATTTCTACTAAAAGCACTACCCATACAGATAGACTAGGGACTGAATGTACGAGCACAAATGGGACCGGACGCATGCTCTAGAGACGATATTATAGTACCAAATAATTGGAACTTTCGAGTAAGAACTCACATGGAAGTCACGAGAATGGATGTTATCGCAAGATGCAATAATAAAACTCGAGATAAGAAGCAAAAAAGCCAGCCATCCTGCAGCTCTCGAGTAGCCCAACTGAGCATAGTAACTGTAGGGGAAACAGACTGTTAGTAAGAATACTGCAATCTTTTCGATAAAATTTCTACCTGAGCAAAACAGCAAGCTACGATAGGGTGAATTGTCAGCATTTTTGAACTTGAAATAGAACGTACAATAGTGATACTACGCTTCTGAATCCTTCTGAGCTCTGTTATTACCAAGGTGGCAACAGTATCACCCTCATCTTCGAGGGCCTCTTGAACTTTGTTATAGATTGTTAAAAAACGGAGTAAGGTCATCCCAGCAAGCAGAAGATGACCAAGAAATGTTTCCTTGAGATGGACGAGCTGAGAGAAGAGGTGGTGAGGCATGAGCAGAATTTTACCGCTTTACCCAAAAATTTCAAGTCTTTATAGGTTTGTCTCCAGCTAAAATAATTTATACATCTTGTACGGTGAGTCCGAACCTAGCAGTGTGTTTACCTGATTAAAGCACTATAAAAATTGAAAGGTTGACTTCATCATATATGGAAGAAAGGAAGTAACCAGATTTTCATTACCGCAGTAGAAACTCAACCTGAGACTGTGGCTGTATTCCATTTAGCACACATCATTACGCATTCTACTCATTTTGTAGGTAGAATACGCATAACTTCCGTGCCTCTTGTATGTGTTCCATCATACTTTGCTGATTCTGGAGATTTATGTTCAGACTCAAGGGTAGTTTTATTGATTCAGACAGTTCATCCAGAGGAAATGAACATGAAGTCAGGCAATTCTCTGTGTCAGATAGACTTAGTTTTGGCTGACCGCTGCGGCAAACAGCCCTTTTAGTCATTATCACATACTTACCTATAAATCACGCACACTACGGGCAAGAGCGACTTTCCGAGGTCAGGAAATTCTCAGAAAATCGTAAGGAAATTTCACAGGTAGTTCTGTAAACAATGACAATTGCACTTCTTTTTCACGCCCAGATGCTCTAGGGCGTGTTTGTGTGCAACCGCTTAGGTCTGCTTACGACCGGCTCACAGCCGGCTTACCCTGCCAAATTGACAATATTCACCTGGGAAAAAAGCTTAATTTGGCGGGTAAACCAGTAAGCACGGCAGGGGCTGGTATGCACTTTTCTCGAGAAGAACTTGTCGCAAAACATTATGCATTTCCTTCAGCTCGGTCGGAAAACGCAATGAAGAATCAGATCACCCAATGAATGGAACTCATTTTCCATTGCATTTTTCGAACAGACTATGTTACGATGTCGTGTTTCCCCATGAAGCTGCACACCAGTCGGGCCTGCCGTGAAGCAGATTCAAGCGGTTGCCCTAAGTTACGCAGTGGTCAATCGATCACTGATCGGGCCCATGTTTTGAAAACGTTGATGCTGATGCATTTTTTTAACTGTCTTTCTTGTGTTGACCTCCTTCTTTGCGGCTGCGGTTTTGGGGAGGTCATTAACGTGGTAAGAAGGTCACATGCGGAAAGAAAAAGGATTGCCATTATTTACAAGGCTCCCTGTAACTTCCATAGATGACATCCCGAAAATTTCCTCAACGATTTTATTGTTCAGGAAATTGTACCAACATGTCAATTTCCAAGCCATTTTCATGTCTTCTATGTCTACTATTTTCTATCAGGAAGCTGGGCAGACCAGGAAGTGGGTCACTCCCCATTTCCTGAGAGCTCAGCCTTTCCGGGGAACATCTAGGGGGCTTAGATATGTAGTTCAAGGCCTTACGCAACTGTCAATGTCGGCTGTTGATGACTGCGAAGCCTGACCAGGAGATACGCGAAAATTGATGGGTTTGGGCAGGCGATGACGTCAATTTCCTTATTTAGGTCTGCCGCATGCGGCGGAGTGGTCGCAAACTCAACAATGGTGCTGTACCCTGGTTGTCCCCCGCTCCGAAACTTTTTGTGAAGTATTAGAATGACTATAGCAGTAAATTGACTAGCTTAGAAGCAGATATGTCGTTTCAGACATGGTCTGTGCAAGGCATTGACCCATTTCCTGATTTTCACCCAAAACTGACACACTGGAACAAAACATTCACCGCGCGCTCAAAACAGCCTATAGTGTCTTGATTTCTAGACATAATATGCTCACAAGATGCCCTACTGTACGTTGAGCACCATACAATAGGTGAATGTCTCGTAGCTCACCCTCCATAATATAAAAACCCTTAGGGTGACCCATTACCCGATACAAAATAGTATGTCATGCGTGTCATAGATTACAACAACACGGCTTGCAAATCGACATGATTTCCCGACCGAAGAAATTTCCTGGATTGGGATTTCATCTCGGAAAGTTAAAATTTCCTTATGATTTTCCCGAAATCTCTGACCATGGAAAGCTGTTCTTATCCGCAGTGACGATGAGTGCATTGATCTCTGAATACTCCAGACTAACAGTAGCTACACTGTGGAATTGCTTAGGAATTTATTCTTCACAGTGGACTAATCATCTGGGAAGGCTGGTGTCTTCTCTCCAATCTATTATGAACTCAAATCTGTGATTTTAATCATCGCTGCTCCGTGCATCTGTCTCTGTGATCTCGATCCTCCGTGATCGATAGAGCTCCGTGCACAGCACCCCAGCTTGGGCTGTCCGTTACTGTGAGTTACAGTTCTAAACGGAATTCGCGTTGCCTGTGAAACGAGTTACGAGATTGGATGTCCAGTCGGCTTCCGTTCAGAATTAAAAGAATATTTACTAACTTTTCTCTGAATGGATTCACGGCATCCTCTCCGGTTTGCAGCTTGTGTATGATTGGATAGCAGCTTCATGTTCAGCAGAAACTGTGTATCCACAGGCAATTTGCTTTCAATCCATTGATTAATTATTAATTATAGTCAGTCTGTAAACAATGACAATTACTTTTTTTTGCACCCAGACGCTTTCAATCGATCACCTTTCAAGGTTCCCCGCCTTACCTGTGTACCCAGGCTGGGCCCGCACGTTTCGATGTGACGTCAGTGCATTTTTGTGTCAGTCTACAACGAGTACTGAGTAGTGATATTATGATATAAGTGATTGGTTTGTTTTTTTGTACTTTTGCTGCTCCTTTACTACTATGTTCGTCCGGGGTCTTTTCTTAGTCTACCTCACTATGGTATAGTATCATAGTACCAATATTACAAGTACCTACACCATGTACATCTGTAATACCTCGCACCTGTTGGGTCGGAAGGTCTACCGCGCGTTTGCCTCCACCGGGCAGGTGTTGCCGGCTGAACCTTAGGCTCCCCGCACGTTGCGGAGCCGTGTAATCTACCTACCTACCTACCTAGGTGCAAATATCTGTTATTCCTTGAATTTCTAGTCGACATAAAAATAAATGTGATGTTACAGGCAACATGCAGAAAAATGCTGATACCAAGGACAAGACAATTCAAAATGAAAACAAATTGGTTGAGGCCTGCCCGGATTGAACGGACGACCTTGTGGACTGGAATCACACGCTCTACCGCTGAGCTAAGGCCCCATGGCAGATTGTCAAACTTTCATTAATACGGTAAGCCAGTATTAGAGGAACCAGGAACGAGTTTTGAATTCATATTGAGGGTATGCGTAGCATTGATACAAGCAACTGATGACGAGGAGGTCAAAGTGGGTAAATAGTACACTTGAGTACATTTTTTCAACGCCAGTACAAATCGCGCA